TCCGGTCAGTAAATTCGCGCTCTAAGCACTTGGCCCTCTCGCCCCCCGCCCGCCGGATCACGAAACGTCACACTACTACAAGGTACAGACCGGATATAATCGTATAAGCTGAGAGTTGACTGAAAACGTTTCCGAAGGGGGACCTAATTCCCCAGAAAAGCCAGTTTCCCATGTCACCATAAACCTACCATTCTGAAAACAACACTCGTCAGACGAAAAAGTCTATCGTGAGTACCGATCAAAGGTGAGACGCACTCTTCAGTCCTGTCGAACCTTTCAAAGACATCAGTCAAAACAATGACCCGCTGGGGAATAAACCCCGTTAAACTGTAGTCTGGACTGTAAAGCGCGATTGACAACAGGCATGTCATGAGGGTTGGCATCGAGGGGCTTAAATCAAACTAACACAGTAGTCCAGGAAGGAGAGGCACCACGAGTGGATTATTCGCTCTACCCTGGAGATAGCACCTCTTCGAGGGGATTAACATCCCCACAACGGGGGCCACCGATATGGGCTATCCAGGAGGTTGCCCACCTTAGCAGGGACGTCACTTGAACCAAGCTGTGAAACACAGTCCCGTTTTGCGAAGGCACGTTCAGTTCAAGTAGCCACACACAAACCAGGTACCAATGGTAGACTGGTCCGGGAGTTAAAGAAAATATGATGAGAAAAGTCAGGGGACAATTGTTCCGACATACTAAAGACTGATGAGCGAAGACCGTCCTAAACATAACTGGATCCTACAATACAAACTGTTCCTGACATCCAAGCTAGTATGACCAATGAAATGCGACAAACAGGAGAAAACGGTTGGACCAGACCAAACACTGAGCTGCCCGCAGTTTGACCATACGTGTAGTGAGCAACGTTGTGGACAGGAAAACGCAGTCCCGTGATAGCGGTTAGCACAACACGAGCAACAAAGCACTTATCAATGCAACAAGGATTCATGTATTTATCCATTTTGTATTCTTAGAGCGATGATAGGATTTTTCAAACCGCATGGCAGATCGTAGTTAACGAGAAGCGCTGTCTGGACTTTCCTCCTTGGACTCTATTGTGGTAGTTGTTATGCCTCTGAAAAAAAGTTTGATCAGGTCCACCTAACCTCTCGCTCTTACTTTTCAACTCAGGGACAAAGTACTCACAACAGAGGCAGTTGGAGCAGCGGGTCATGCGGACCGAATGTGACCACCGATGGAGTTTTCGTTGCAAACACACGCGGAATCCCGATTAGAGGGGAGCCATACATTATGGTGGAACTACCGGCATCGAGCAAAGAGCAAACGTACGACTGGACCAAAGATGAAGAAGATAATGAGTACCAGGGTATCGAAGGTCCCGGTGAACTGAATATGGTTGGAACTGGTCGTCTGGTATTCAACATGGTCAGTCTGGTAATCTTGCTGGGTTGCGTGATGGCTTTCGTGGTCACATCAAAGGGCTACATGCTGATAAGCATCACTCTGAAGACACGATACGGGGAACGCGGATTAGATGATATGTCTAACCAACCTCAAAGTCTGGCAGAAATAGCTAGACGGTTTAGCAAGGAAGCAGCAATGAAGGCGAAAACGGCGAGAGTGATACCTCCACTGGCATCGGATAGTGCTCAGACAGAATCGAGCGACCAGTGAGTATGAGAATAATAGAGAAAAAACGTTACCGGGACAAAGCAGGAGTTGTTTGTTACCCATTGCTAATGTTTTTCGCGTTTCATCAACATTTTCATTGAACCAGTGGTTAATAACACCTTTTGTGACGGGCAGAGGAAATAAAGGGTAGATGGAGAGAGAGAGAGAGAGGGAGAGGGAGAGGGTAGGCTCATGAGCCAAACTGCTCCCGTTGCAGCCATGACTATGGCAACAAGTATTTTTCTGAACTCCAGGAATACTCATGGAGTCCAGCTGATTCCCCGTTTTGCCACAGCAACCAAGTCCTTAAGAAATCGTTCAGCTGTAGCATCCCTTCTGTGCCAAACTGCCATGCCACCTGAAGGTTGCAAGATGGCTGGGATACTGCCAGGTTGCCCAAACATGGACAGGGGAAGTCGAGATGCAGAGGTCGGGTTCGAACCACGGACCTTCCGGTCAGTAAAGTCGCGCTCTAACCACTTGGGCCATCTCGACCCCGAGTCCCTAAGGCGACATTACCCATAAAATGTGGTCAATTGAGGGTGAATCACAACTGTGAGGAGGTCCCTATGTGCTTCCAGAAAGGTGAACTTGAGTTCTGAAGTGTATTTCCAAGGGGCCTGATGTTCATCGACCATGAACTATTAGTCAAAGACAGTGTTAGAGTGGCGGCAGCAGCTCGTCACCCTGCCCAAAATTGGGAACAAGACAGGAAAACTGGTATAAATCTGTTACCAGCCGCGCTTACAAAACACCCAGAGTCAGAGCCAGGGTGCGAGATGCTCTGCGCACGGACAAGTCGATCACACTTGAACGGTTGCTCCACTAATGCTACACATGACGAGTGTAAATGGGGACTCGGGGACGATACAGCAGATTTTGTCGCGCAATAAGATTGACCCAAGTAGTTGGAATGGTCGCGACTTCACACTCGTGATAGTTCCAATCAGAGAGGCGTGAACAGGGATATATCGTAACTAGGGCTAGAGTGAGCGGTATACGTGAAAACACCGATGACAGTAGTGTCATCAAATCACGTGACTAAATAAAATGTTCCTATTTATAACGTTGTGAGACACACTGAACGGGATTGAGATGATTTATTGTCATTACTTGCGTCTAGTCTTTGACATGTAAGGGAATTTGGGAGTCAATCTACCGAGTTTTTTTTCCGAGTCCGCCCTGTCATTTACTCCTAATATATAACGTCCGAGGGGTAATTCATCATCATCATCATCATCATCGACAGCATGACATCAGTGTTCAACACCGATGCTTCACTGTCGTACAACCATGGTTTATTTGAAAGCCTTATTGTAAAGAAAAGAGTAAGGGTGGACGGGGGAGGGAGTTAGTGCTAGCTTAACACAATAATTCCGAGGTGCCTACACCTGAGCTGCGATCGAAATATGTATGCCCAAGACATCTTACACCCTGACCTTGGCTCCTAACGAACTAATCCCCGGGAATCGCTCTTCCTTCGTCTCCAACCTGAGACAGGTGACCTCAGCCTTACCCCCAAAACTCATTTCACAAGAATGTGAGGTATGGCAAACTGTTTTGTAATACTTACGGATTGGTTGTGTTGCCAACGTTCCACAAGTTTCCAGGAGAGGTTGAAGTTCCTCTAGGATTTGTTAAGAAACAAGCGCAGTCCACAAGGAACATTCACTCATCAGTGCGCAAGCGGAACCAGCCAGTTAAACCAGGATCCAAACGTCAAACGTTGAAACTGACCTTATAAGCAACCGCGTCTGATCATGGTAACCTCAAAAGTATGTTTAAAAAACCTGCGCTGAATACCGAAACGGGGTGACCACTCACCGACTCCACTTCGCCGTGATGCTTGGCTATGGTCCATTGACGCCTCGGGAGCTCAGCGCACAATTCCCCAGTGTTTGCATCGTAAACGGTTAAATTGAAGTTCTTGAACGGCTAAAATGAATGGCCGAAACAGTGAAGGGATATTTTTAATTAGAGTATGTTGGCCGCGCGCTTGGCTGTCAAGAAAAAACAAATTGAGGATACATAACTAGATGTCACTTTAGTACAAGCTGTGCTACCGAAAACAGCTTTGGAGACGAGTTCCCACTATATCCTAAGTCAGACTCAAATCTGACAACCTCATGCGCCCGTTTCGGCTAGTCGAACTCTGGAGATGTTCGTACAGCTACTGGGTGAAATTAAGTGGCGAAACTCTTCCAAGGAAGAATGATATCACTTCGAGATCGTGCAGTGGTCGATTGAGATTGACAAGTCAGTCTTTTTCGATGAGTGACTTTCGAACTAGGTCAGAAGGTTCGGTACTGTGGTTTGTATCGAAACAACAGACACCTATACAACTCTGCCATGGGTTTCATGGCGTCAACTTATCAACTGCCCGGTTTGGCTTGCTTCCTCATAAAAATACGGGTGACCGAGTTCATGACTTCACAATCTCACAACCTCAACTTTAAGTGGCGTTACCCATTAGCCAGCGAACACGCATATAGTGTGCTTTGTTTCTCCGTTTTGGTACCGTTCAATATACTTGAAAAAGTAACCTCTAATGGGCGGAACCTTGGGCTGTTCCAACATCGTTTAGAATCAGTATTAGCAATGTTGTGGAATGTAGGTAGCTCGGGTGCACTGTTCGGTTGTTGGTCTGTTCGCCGAACTTGGCAGTTGGATTGCAAACGCTCCATCACCAATCGAGGTGACATAGTCAGTGCGGGGTTGGGTGGGTATCCTTTGTTTGGCAATACAAGCGTAAAGGAGCAAAAGGCCCTGGTATTATCGGTGCCATTTTCGAGGGAGAACCACAAACGTATAAGATGAAGGGTAATCGGATCACTAATAGAATACCGTTGGGGTAGCGGTGAAATTGTTGTAGCATGGGGACCTCCCTATAAAGATCACAAGCATGCTTGTCCGTAACTAACCTGTTCTGCATTGTGTGATGCTGTGAACAAATAGTCGCGTCCATTTAGCGAAACCAGATGAGCGAACATGGCCTGTAAAGAAAACAGAACAACTGAAGGTCAATTTTTTGCCCTGGTGCATGTGCGCCGAAGACAAACTCTGCGATCACAATTGAACTAGCAATAATCAACGCAGGTAGCGAGTGCTGTAGTTTTCTCCAGTCATGTAGACACATTAGATTGAAAATAATATCCACTTGGAGCGAATGACCGACGGGTACTAACGTCTATGCAGCTCTTGCCCGAAATTTGACACTGTAAACATCTTCAGAATAGACGGAAAATGTGATAAGACACGAAAAAGCTGAACCGAGTGGGCCAAACATTCCACGAAAATAACAAATAAATAATAATCGTTCAACTGTAACACCCTTTCGGTGCCTAGCTGCCATACCACCAGAAGGAAGCACGAGGGATGGGATACTGCCAGGGTGCCCAAACGTAGTCGAGGGAAGTCGAGAGGCAGAGGTCGGATTCGAACCACGTGCCTTCTGGTCGTCCAGCTGTAACACCCTTCCGGTGTTCCCCGAAGGAAGCACGAGGGCTGGGATACTGCCAGCTTGCCTAACCCCAGACAGGGGAAGTCGAGAGGCAGAGGTCGGGTTCGGACTACGGACCTCCCGGTTAGTAAATTCGCGCTCTAACCACTTGAGCCGTTTCTTCAAAAACAAACCATACTACTGATGAAAAAACATACTTCGTTCAAGCGATACTTCGTTCGAAGCTTTCCGGTGGAACCTAGTTCAAAAACCTCGCCCGATCCGCTAGGAGACGTGATGATGAAGCTAGTATTTGTGAGCTGCAGTATCTTCGTCGTGCGCTAGGAAAATAAAGGGGTGAGTAAAAACAGATAATTAGCACAAACTAGGAGAAAAGATGTGCCGGAAGGACAGAAACGGTGTACATGAGGGGAGATAAATATCGAGTGATAAGTTTGCGCGCATTTCAACGAAACCAATTGTGCAAGCTTCCAAGCTTTGTGGGTTATATTAAACTTTGACAAATCAGGTGGAGGGGCTATCTATCTATCTATCTCACAAACCACAGGTGAACAGCAACAGCCTCTAAAAAAACAGGAACAGCTGACTACTGTCAAAAACCTAATAGGTGAATCATCAAAAATGAACTTGAAGGCTGACGGCATGCTGCAAAAAACATTTACTTAGTAGTGTCCTCTTAAAAACCGTAGGTAGAACAGGGTAGTGTGAAGGCGAACTACGCCGAGAAAAGCAGACCGACCACATAGAATGCGGCTGGACGAAGCTCAGAAAGGTACACAAGTATGATTGTGGCCCATCCGAAGTCCACAATGAGCCGTCGACCATGACTCCCGAACATGTTTCCCATAAGTTCCACATACTACTAGTTATGTGTCAACAGCAACCATATTAGGACCTATTTCAATCAATGTAACCGATAGTAATTTGACTCTCCGTTTTTGAATACGGCGCAGTATATGTCTGAAAATGTCTGGGGAACATGTCTGCACTTTCGGCGATCTGACTAACTCGTTCGAAGCTCTCCCGATGAAACTGGTCCCTCTCAGTCTCAAAACTGCAATATGTCAGAGAGAATGCCGATACGACATACGAATACTGTTTAGCGCATCGATCTGCATTGATCTTAATTGGGCCAGACAACCACACAGCGCAAAGACGACGGTTTACTGGGATCCAGTCTAGTAAGGTGCTTTAAAACCTGGGGATGAGTGCAACTCACACACCGTGGATACCATGAACCATTCAGTCATGATCAGCAGATGCCCGAATAGTGAAATGTGGAGCATTTGAGCTCATCCTAAGTGACTTGATATGTGAGCGAAGTGGTCTCTTGTATGCTTATTTCGGAGACACAACATAAACTGATGTACAGGGAAAGTAAGGTTTCAGCAAGGTATGCATGTTGCCCGATATTAAAGAGTGCAACGTGGATCAGATTTCTTCAGGTTAGTAACGATTATTTGGTTCATTTTTCTGGCCGATGGTATAGATACGGAACAGTGGTTATGGAATTGACAGATGAGTTGCTCGCTTTGCATCACCCTGTAGGTGAAAAAGTGATGTGAGACGGGACGGTGAGTGACCAATTACAAGGGCGAAGAACACTTCCCGGTTGCCCAGGCCGAAGAAGGGGTTGGTTGAGAAACCCAATCTTGAGCCTCTGACTCAAAAGTCTGACCCACAATGCAGTTGGAGGATGTAACGCTTTGTTCGGGGACCCGACCCTAGCCTCTGACGCAAAAGTCTGAACCGCGAGGCAGCGGACAGTAGGGTTTTCTTGTGAGGCCCTTCCCGGGACCAACGACGCAAAGGTCTGACTCACTTGGCGGAAAGGGGTCGGCCTTGCCTGAGGACGCAGAGAGTGAGGCACTACTGTCTCACTTCTAGTGCGGCTGCGCTCAGCACCGGACTCTGATTTTTAAAAAATGACCGCACTGAATGATGTGACATCAATCATCATCATCAACGACAGCATAACATCAGTGTTCAACACCAATGCTTCACTGGCGTACAACCATGACTTATTTGAAAGCCTTATTGTAAAGAAAAGAATAAAGGTGGATGGGGGAGGGACTTAGTGCTAGCTTAACACAACCATTTCGAGGTGCCTACACCTCCAGACATTCACTCAGGCAATCTGGACAGAAACTGACAACAACAACGCCACTGACATCGGTTGGCAGCCATATCTTGTAGTGTCTCCAACCAGGCACAGTGAGGATCACG